GCAAAATCTACCACCACGAATTAGTTCGCATGTGAATCCAATATAATGTCGCATGAATTATTACTTTATGTTTTGCATTTTTTTTCCTCAATTTCATAAGTGTATCACCTAACCGGCCGCAAAGAAATGACATAATGAAGACATAAATTATAAAAGAATGGTTGCACTCTTTTAAGTATCTGGAAAACAGAGACTTTAAACTACGTAGTTTAGTTTTTTTTTTTTTTTAATATTTTATACAGTAACTACTTTTTGGTTATTAACCAAGCTAGTTAATTAATTTTGAGTAAATTAAAACATTAATTAAATTAGTTATTTATAAAAATGGGTTTTTCTTTTCTAAAATAATCCTTTAATAAAGTGCAAGGGTAAGAATCAAATATATATATAAATACTCTTCCACGAAGCCGGCTCGAATATGGCTTATTCTCAGCTTTAGATACATATTACTGTTCACAAGCCTTTTAGGTTTACCTCGGGCTTCGTTTGAGCTGATTTTAGTTAATGTTATGCCTTGGGCTCTGCATTCAGCCCATATGTTTCTAAGGAGCTTTCTACCAATTCAAATTTCAAAATTCCCAAGCCTCCCGCCGTGTGGCAACTTCGGTTTTGTACTTCTCCCCATCGCCTACCTCAGATGCTATAACCTTCCTATCTCCCTCATTCTCACCTCAAATTCTTCTTCCACAAACCGCTCTATGATTTTTTCTTCTTCACAGTCTTCTTTCATGCTCGCCGATGAATCCGTGCTTCCATCTTAAGCATTCAGCAAGGCATTTGTGCTCTCTGCTCTTCCTCTAATTTTCTTCATCCATCTCCCTCTCACTATTGCTTCTGCTTCTCCCCTGATCTTCTTTTAAATTTATCTTGTAGATCCCCATTACCGATAATCTTTTATGTAGATGTGTGTGAACGGTGGGGAGATATTGCGATCATGCTAGCACCGAAGAAGCAACGGCACCAGCCACGATGAGGATTCTGACCATGCCCTCGCCCTCTTTCTTTGTGGCAAGAGAACGATACCTAAAACACAGAGAACACCCGAAAAAAAAAAACAGATCCAGATGCATGTCTCAGAAGAAGAACCGACCTGCTTTAAATGCGAGGAGAGCAGATGGGAAGAGGTTGAAGGTAGAGAACAAGATGCTTAGATATGAGAGACTTTCGATGGTCGCCCTTTCATTCCATTCCCCACAACTATGGAGGAATGTAACCACAATAGAACCACTGTTGTTATGATCAAGAACATTCCATATCACTTTCAGCACCTGTTATCTCCTTCTTCGCCTTTTATTTTTCTCCCCGGCCCATCCTCCATCTTGTGTTTGTGTGTTATATATAACTGTTCACCTTCTGACTAATACGGTTCTCTGTGCCATGGGGATTGTCAGGTCTAAAAGATCTGATATCGATATTGGACAAGCACTGCTCCCAGCAAAATTGAAGTTCTCAGCGGGCATCTTCTCTTTCCATGTATGATTTCGTCTCTCTACCAATGGGTTACAGGTAAGTGCAAACATGCCGTGCTGTGTGCTGGGGATAATAATGAAGATCCTCTTTGATTGTGAGGTATGGGGTTTATTATTAAAAACTAAAATGATAAGGTTTTGAGTCTAAGGATTGACTTACTTATAATTTTAATTAATTCTTTAACAGCATGTAAAAACTAAAATGATGTTCATTATTTTTTAGCAGGATGGCAAAGGTTCTGCATATCCTGAGCTCAAACGACGTTGAGATATTATCCATAAAGGTTGATGAGATCCAGCTGAAGCTAAAACGAACGGGCAAGATGAGAAGGCTGAGGTACTGGTTTGATTGCTTCTGTATTTTCTCATAACAAGCATGTATGTTCACTCAAATAAAGTGTAGTTTTTAGCTGCTGCGTATATAATCTGTGTTCTTGGACTACTTTATATGCACTTCATAATGAACATCTGGATTCACACTTATAATAATCAATTTAAGTGACATTATTATAATATGTTGATCCTTATAAACAAATGGGTAATGCTCCATCATCACTTTCCCAAGTATATATACAAGTAGGAAGGACATGAAAACTTCGCATTCTCGATCTGCTAGACTCAAGAAAAAGACCATAGCATTAATAACAATAGTAATCCAATTCATTCTAACATAAACTCAGAATATAAGAAGCAATGTTCACCATAAAACTTCAACAACTAAATCATCACTTATCAGAATATGCAAAAGTTATCTCATGAAGTTTTCATTCCATGCAATGTTAAAAATTCACACATTTGTTTTCAAATAAAAAAAAAGGATATCAGATCATGTATAAATCAGTGGAAACACATTCAAATGCTTCTTTGCTGTCAAATACAAGCGTGAACTAACAAAGCACATGATTTAAAAAAAAAAAAAAAGACAATATATTCTCATGCTCTGCCAAATGAGGCATCGTAGAAGTTGCAGGTGGATGCTCTTTCTTCTGAATCTAAAGTGTTGTAAGAGATTTTGGTAGTCCAGAAGTAAATGCAGGGAGAATCACTTTTACATAAAATCAGAGATTTAGAGGATGACTTTTCTGAGGTATTGTCCCTTTCCTCTGCTACTTATAGATTTCTGTATCAGTTTTCTCTTCCTTCTTTTCTGTTTCACAGAGTTTAGTATCACTTAACCATTAATTCTTAAACGTGCGTGCATCAGGAAAACAAATAACATGCTTTGATCGCAAGGCTAACTTTGATTTGTAGAAAGTTTGGGGAAGGACTGTTTTTAGAAGTTTCATTCAGCGGATATTTCATAATTACCAACTACTGACAAAAGGAAATAGAAATATTATTGGGTGATATTATAGGTATCTATATGAAAGTAGATAAGAAAAGTTGTGTTTTTGTTGTCTGAAACTAATAATCTGGCCTGACCAAGTTAATATGTCATTGATTTACAAAAATTGTTGAAAGTATACCCAGCTTTTGAATAAATTCTAATGTTATGTACATATATTGGCTATCTCATTCTTTCACTGCTTCTATATCTTTTAATTAGTACACCTCTCAGTTCCTGTGTTGTAAGCTAATAGCTTCTACATAAAATATGGTGTTGTGTTGTTGTTGTTTTTTTTTTTTTCCCAGTGTGTTGTATCTGCCTATCTGGATCAATGAGTCAACACGAGAAGATTTTCGTTATTTATGTTCTATCTCAGAAAGGAAATACTGTGCCTATAAAACTTCCAATGTAGCCTTATGCATTTTTGATGCAATTAAGCAGGCACAAGGAACTATAATCCATTGGAAGCTATTAGCTTTTTGTCTCTGGTATACCAGTGAAGCGGTACATGGCAATATCAATGCCTGTAAAAGAGATAAATATGTTCCCCTGGCGATACGAGTGAGGAAATATTATGCAGAAGCTATCTTAGTGCAAGTTTCTTATTCCTATGTGCTATTGTTCATGCACGCCAAGTTGTCACCATTACGCTATCAACAGCCCTCTCTGTCAAAGATAAGAGTCATCTGCATCAAAGTACTGACCATTCTGTGCAGAACACATTGTTATGAGTACAATGTCCAGTATTATTGTATTGTTAGTATTAATCATGTAGATGTTATGAGACACGTCTCCCAGTGTAGCAATATCGTCAATATGTATATATAATTGGTCAACTACAATGTCTGTATTATATGTTAATTTTTAAAGCTTCTTTATGAAAAAGAATGCGGACAAACAATGGGGAAGTTTTTAAGTGAACGCGTCATTTTCCCATTTAAGTCACTTTTGTAACATTTGTCTCTTAATTTGAATTCGTTGCACAATAGTATAAATCATTAAATCTAGAGGATCTTATGTTTAAGGTTGGTAATTTCTATTGCACATCATGAATCAATAATATAATATAACATCCCTGTTATGTGTTTTCCCGCACTTTAAGCACCTTGCAAGTGATGCTGCGTTTCTGTTCCTTTATATGATGCTAATGATTGATGTTATTTTAGTATGGAATTCTTCAAATTTTATACCTGCTCTAATTTTTTCCTTGAATTATTTGGGGGATGTAAGGCCATAAAATATGTATCCTTGACGTGGGTAGGATTTAGAGAATCATAATTAAAAGTGGATGATTTGTTTTTTTTTTTTTTTAACCAACGTGGATTATTTGTTTGTTGATGCAATATGATTATTTGTAATTTTATAACCATTGAAGCCCACGCCCTCATACGTTCCATGAGGAAGTAAGCTTTTTTTTTTTTTTTTTTTAATCTTGACATATAAAGAGGTTTTTTTCCATTATTTTTTATCATTGAAAAAGAAGGTTATAGTTACTATTGAATAAATCTTCTATGTGAGTTAGGAGCATGATAGGATGGAAAATATTTTTACATAATTGTGGGATGGTTGTTAAAAATCAACTATTATTGGACGATGTAGGAATTTGCACTCAATATGATATCTAAGTGTTAACTGGAAGCAGAGAGTCATAAAAGATAAAGTTTTTTTTTTTTGGGATCAGCCATAAAAGATAAAGTTGAATTCATAACTATGATTGAAGGCTAAAATGTCATGACTCTTATCAATTAATAGTAGGAAATAATTTATATTAATTTGTACATGATACAAATGTAATGAAACAAATATGATCATTTAAATAAAGCTTAGAGATTGTGCTTAGAAATTTTCATATCTTCATTTTTTATGTGCAATGAATTCATGAAATATCATGAATTATGATATATTTATGTGTAGTAAAAGGTGAGTTCCTTTTTGATAAAATAAAATAAAATAAAAAATTTCAAATTACAAGCTCTCCGCGCATTGCGCGGGAAGCACATGCTAGTTACTATTATTATAAGAACTATCTTAAAAAAATAAATAAATGTGAAAAACAAAATAGATTAGAGTCTTATATTTAGAATCAAAATAAAAGTCAAATAAGCTCTTATATTAAGAACTGGAAGTAGTATAAGATATAAGATTTTTTGAGAGGTTTGACCTCTCCCTATAACTATAATTTTTTAAGTTTTCTTTATTTGAATTTTTGGGGTTTATGTTCTTTTTTAATGTGTTAAAAAAATCAAAATAGATATTCTTTAATTTTATTGCATATCTGTTAAGGAAAAAAGAAATCTGCCACCATGAATCAGGGCATAAAATTTGCATGTGAATAAAAAAATAACGTGGCATAAATGCAACAATGAAATTTGTAATTCTTTGAATTTATCAATATTAAAAGGTTAACCATGATAGAAAAGAGTTAAATCAATCTATAAATATGTTTATCATGATTAAAAGAGTTTTTCTAAATTAACTGCATGCAAACCAGGATTCACAATAAATGGGGTTTTGGGCATTATGAAACCCAGCATGTCATATTCAACCATAAGCCCATAACATAACATTACTGAATAATACCTTTCATAACTTTCTAAAATCAAAGGTCATCTAATATCAAAGATCATTGTAGATCCACAACTCATATAAAAAATCACATGTAACTACTTAGAGGCCTTTGGCCTTCTACCAGCATGCAATCTAGTAACATTTAATCAAAAGTACACTGTCAAAACACCCAGTTTCAAGACAAATCAGTATATGTGGAATGTGCCCTATTATGACAATACACATCTATCCAAAATGATCAAAAGGATGGAAGCACTATAATTTTGTAGTAGTAGCTCAAATTTTCAGAGCCTTCCCAAACAAACCCGAACAGGAACTATCACCAGGAAACGTGTTAAATCAACAAGGTGAAACAAAAGTCTCAGTAACCAATAATCCTATTTATTAAGGATACAAATAAGTGCTCATGAGGTGTCAAGTAAGACAATTGTAAATTCTTAGTATTCAAACAAGTTTCATATTGTCGGAGCATATAACAAAGTATAAGAGATAGTCCTCTCACCTCCCTTATATCAACCTACTTTATATCCTCTGATTGAACCCATGGGCCAAATTTTTATCCATATGACTGGTAATTAAACAAGCTCACCAATCAAGTGATATGGACCGGCAAAATTTACAGAGCACATGATCGGACCATGGGTTTTCCTTTTAGTCCACTAGCAGGGTGTCAATGCCCTACAATGAGTAATTGGGTTAAAGGACCAAATAGAGTACACCTAATGGCCCTACCACCTTATACCTCAAATGTACATGATTCATCCCCTTATATCCTCTTTGGTATAATTCCCATCATCAAAATCCGCCACCCCTCTCATATCAATACTTAAAAGATTATATTCATAATAAGTCATCAATATGCCAAAATCAATTCAAATTTTCAATTTCCAATAATCCATAAACACATGAGATCATCATGGTTATATCTATATTTTATAAAGGAAGTCCCACAAGACCGTTTCAATAACAGCATAGTTTCATAGCTCATATCATAATTCAATAGTACTTTATAAATTTCATATAATTCAAAATCTATTACAAACAACATACAACCATGCATAACAAGTAAAAAGTGGGTATCTCTCTCGCCCACTAAGAAAAGGATTACCACAAGGTTAACCCCGTACTCAAACCAATAATCTAATAATTTGATCTACGCAATCAATATATTTACATATCAATACCTAAGCCATTTAATTAATTACTTGAGCTAATATATATATATATATATATAGACATATATATAAGTTAAAATTTCTAATTCTATGCTAAAATCCCATAACTCTCATACCCCATAATTGAATCTTTTAGCGTAAAATTATAATATCCTAACAATCCATATTTTTGGTTTAAATCTTTCAAAATATTTCTTAAATAAAGATTTTTCAAATTTTAAAAAATATGAAATTATCATATTTAAAATTCAAGAAAAATCCTATCTCAACCTTAAATCTAAAAAATAAACCATTAGAAATTCAATATACATCAAATACACTCAAGTAAATAGCTTAATCAAAAGTTTCATAGTAGAATTATCATATTTTTCATAAATAAATATCTGTTTAACCAAAATAATTAATTTAAAAAATATTAGATCAATCAATAAATAAAACTAAACTGATAGAAATGATATACTAAAATAGCTCTACAATACTATGTTTTTTATGATCAAAACTCAATACTTGCTTCAAACCTAGGTCCAAAAATTTTCTCTAAATAGCATAAAATTACTATTATTAGATAGATCTAAATGAGTAGAAAATTTTTTATGAAGAGAGTTTAATGGAAAAGATCATTTAATTTACCAAAATGATTTGCAAAATTTGAAACCCTACTGAAAAAAGAAATGGAGAGGCAACGTGGAGAAGGGAGATAGAGAAGACTACGCATGCTCTCTCACTCCCCAACGGGTAAAAATATAACTTTTGGGGTAAATTTCAGTTAAGTACCCCTTATTAAAATGACATAAAATTATAGTTTATCTCCCTTGTTACTTTCCTCACATTTTTTTTTTTCAATGATCCGTTTTATTATTTTTATTTAGCAAGTTTCTCATATACATATATATTTTATAAATCTTATCTTTAGTAATTCCTTTTTCTTAAATAATAGAGAATAAAACTCAGTTATTAAGCATTAATCTCCTTTTAATGTTATTTAAATATTAGGAATAAAAATTGGGATGTTACAACTCTCCCCACCTAAAAGGAATTTTGTTCCCAAAATTCAAACAAATAATACAACAAACAAGGAAAAACACCTGCAAAGAAATAAGTATGGTTACTCCCACCACATCCATTCCTTGGTTTCCCAAGTAGCATAACTAGGACTCATTCCTTTCCAAAAGACCATTACAAGCCGGATAGTCTTATTCCGTAGTTGCTTGTCCTTCACATCCAAAAGCCACTCCGGTTTTGCCTTGTAAGTCAAGTTCTCATGTAACTCAACTTCTTCAAGCTCGATTATGTGAGATGGATTCGAATGATACTTCTTCAATTGTGACACATGAAACACATCGTGAATGTTGTGACAGGTGTGGCAGTGGAGTAATATGGTAGGCAACAGGCCCAATTCTCTCCAAGATCTCATATAGGCCTACAAACCTTGGTGTGAACTTTTTGGCTTTGATGGATCTTCCAATACTTGTGAGTGGAGAAACTTTCAAAAACACATGATCACCCACATCAAATTCCAAAGGTCTCCGACGACGATATGCATAACTCTTCTAACGGCTTTGAGTTGTCAATAACTTTTGTTTAATTAGATCAATCTTCCTGGTAGTGATGTTTACTAAGTCAGGACCAATGATAGTTCTCTCACTCAATTCCATCCAATAGAGTGAAGATCGGCACTTTCTCCCATACAAGGCTTTATAAGGCGCCATCTGGATGCTAATATGATAGCCATTATTGTAGGAAAATTTTGCTAATAATAAGTGATTGTCCCAACTACCCTTGAACTCAATAACACAAGCTCTCAGCATGTCCTCAAGAGTTTGAATCGTCCTCTCAATTTGTCCATCTGTTTAAGGATGGGAGGCAGTATTATACTTCAACTTAGTA